AGTAATAATAAGTATATATAAAATGTGTTAGATGTTCACTTTGTATATAATCACTTTTGTTTTTTTACATTTTTATTGATAATTATTTTAATTTCTATATCACTTTTTGTTTCTTACATTTTTATCCCTTATACATTAATTGAGAAGTGATTTTGGAGAAAAAACTTATGTGTCTTTTCTAGAATCATTCTCCCAATTTTATTATGACATGAAATTGTATAAAATATGACATGGCAAAATGTCTATCTAATTTAGCCCACTGATAACTAATTAAATTAGTCCACAATCAAGAAAGCTGCTCTTCAATCGACCACTAGGTATAATTAAATTAGCACACAATCATATTATACCTCTCAATCACAATTCAATAGGCCTCCTCCATGTTGGCCCCGGACCTACAGCCCAACATTCTGAGCATACCACAAGTCGCGGATCACCAAAGGAAGCAGAGGCCCAGCGGGCTGCCAGAGGCCCGCTCCAACCGTTAACCACGATCTGATCACACCTAAGGAATACCCGAACTGAGCTTGGTCAAAACAGGGGTATATCAGATCAACCATGGTCAGCTGAACTCAGGTTAAACCCACCGTCCTTCACTATAAATAGAGGTCAAAGGGTGGTGTAAGAGGGGAGAAGGAAAACTTCCAAAAAGAAGTGCAAACCCAGCCACTCGCGAGCTCTCTAAATCCTACTCTTTACCGAAAGTCTAGCAGTTCGGAGTCTGTCCGATCTGCCACGATCTCTTAACTAGCGAACTGATAGCACGGGATCTGTCCGGACTATCTTTAGCGATCTACTTGTAGTTACACCTCTTCGACTTAACTTTCTATATACGAGGGTCTCCGACCTCTGATCTATTATAAATTCATTGTCGACCTGCTTGGATCAACACTCAACTATATATATAAATGGTTTTGGGAGATAATCACGGCGAACGAAAATTTATAGCAATGGGCCTCTCAAGTTAATGGTTTTGGGAGATAATCACGGCCAACAAAATTTTATAGCAATCGGTCTCTCAAGTTAATTTAAAAAAAAATAATTTTGGGAGATGAATATGATATTCACAATCAAACTAATCTTACGTATACACCGAAATTTTCATCAAAGGTAAAAAGCAATTTTTTTAGAGATTGATCAAACGCCTTTCAT